TCCCAGCTGCTGTCTGCCTTCGTCCCAGCTGCTGTCCCAGCTGCTGTCTGCCTTCATCCCAGCTGCTGTCCCAGCTGCTGTCTGCCTTCATCCCAGCTGCTGTCTGCCTTCATCCCAGCTGCTGCTGCTTCCCTGGATTCAGTTCCAGCTGCATATTCCGGTCATGTTTCAATGCAGCAGTCGCAACACAGCGTGGCTGGGGCTGATGCTCTTTTTGATTTCATTCTCAGTGTATGTAATAAACCTTAAATTCCTCAAGAAATTTAAGAAAGGAAAATAAGGAGAAGTGGGCAATTTTGGAATGACACGTCTCGAGTTGCCGTCTTTGTCCGGCATTGTTCGTCTGGCGTCTTCCTTGGCTGAGTGGATAATGGCTCTTTCATGACGATCTTCTGCACGGCTTCTGCACTGGATGTATGTCAACTCAGAGGCCCCCTGTGCTTGAAACGAAATATCTTCAGGCTCCTTGAAAGCCAGTTACCATAGATGAAGCTGCGCACTTATACATTCTAGCCAGAGAGGTCTGCAGCCGTATCTGTGATGCCATATAGAATAGGGGCCTCTAACGCTGCACCATCCCTGTGGTCTCTCATTTATGAACATTGAAAATCAGCCAAGAGTCCTTCACGTCACACATAATTACACATACGTCCGTGTTGTGAGGAAATGAAACTTACCATGCATGAGAAAATTAATTAATAGTGTGTAACATATTTTTTATTGCTGTCTAATATGCTATTTAAAACGGATTTGTTTCAGTTAAAACACAACTGTGTAAGTGTAAGGTCGTTTAAGAGCGGCAAGCAACGTGTCAGCTAATATCAGTAATAATCACCTGTCTCTTTTCAGGAACCTTGGAAAATCAGGACTGCGGGTGTCATGTCTAGGGCTGGGTAAGTACAGTACATCATCTCCATATGAATGCAAGGTCACCCCACAGCCTGAGACTGGAGTTTCCCACTCACAGAGCAATTAGCGTCGAACAGATAATGCAGAATTGTGTTATTATATTTGCATGTTTTTGGTGTGCTAAATGCTAAATTAGGCAGTCATTATCCATCCATCCATTATCTGCCGCTTAGCTGGGGTCGGGTCGCGGGGGCAGCAGGCTAAGCGGGGATGCCCAGACCTCCCCCTCCCCAGCTCCACCGGGGGAATCCCGAGGTAGTTCCCAGGCCCCGAGAGATATAAATATGATACTTAATATTTAATTTTTCATATATAAAAAGGCAGACATTTACAAAGAAGCACGTTTGTGAAGGAGGAGTTTCAGCAGATAATATTTTGAATGCCTTATTTAAACTATAAATATACCTAGATATGAGAACTTCATACAGTACTAGAATGACTTATACAGCCCAATTACCAGAACCAAATCATTCATATAGCCCTATTAATAGATCTAAACAGCCCAAGTACCAGAACAAACTGCTGATATAACCCAGGTACCCTGTTTGGACATACGGGCACAAAAAACACAGCAGCCCTTGGTCTTGCCATAGAAACCAATACATCTCCTGAAAGGGAGATCCGCTGAACCAGTTAATGGCTGACATGTCTGCGCTGAGGTGTGCGGGCCCCTCACATGGGCCACAGCAGGTCGTCCCCAGGGGGCCCAGTGACTGAGTCAGCTGCTTTATTTCCAGAGCAAGGCTTCCCTGGGGCCCGTGACACATGCGTATGTAGAGCAGAGCTCAGGTGAAATAAATGACCTGGGGAGATGTGCTTTAATTCCGTCTATTTGTTGGCTGTTCCTCTCTTTTTCATATATATAATGGGCTGTGAGCTCCTATTTCAGGTGCAGAAAGTAAAAATCCAGACCAAGATGTTGTTTCGACCAACCAGTTGAGTATCTGTGATCGTGTCTGTTTATACTCAACTGTTTGGTTGAAACTAAATCGTGGTCTGGTTTTTTATCTTCTGGACTTGAAATTTTCACCTATGGCGTACGACACGCCCAGCCATGGTCAGAAGGCAGATCATGGGGTACCAGCAGGAGCTCTGGTGTCTCTCGGCGTCAGAGAACATCGTACCGGGACATAAGGAGTAGAGAAGCAGCCACGCTGTGCTGAGTAGCTGCTCCTGGAGCAAGCAGAGGTTAGAGGAGGCGCCGGGAAAGTCTGTTTATCAGGCTTAGACCCGAACGGCAATGCAGCTGAAGCGCAGACAGGGGACGGGCAGGGGACATGCTGCTGTCGCAGACAGGGGACGGGCAGGAGACATGCTGCTGTCGCAGACGGGACGGGCAGGGGACATGCTGCTGTCGCAGACAGAGGACGGGCAGGGGACATGCTGCTGTCGCAGACAGAGGACGGGCAGGGGACATGCTGCTGTCGCAGACAGAGGACGGGCAGGGGACATGCTGCTGTCGCAGTTGATTTACTCCCTTTGTTCTGGATGCTTCTCACTGGCATGAACGGACAGGTAGGACTTCTCTCCCTCACTGCCAGTTCTCTGTCCAGGGACTCTGACTTCTCCTTGGGGATTCCCAAGTGCTCCAAAGTCAAATGGGAGATGTAATAGTCTTTAATTGGGAGCATGGTGCAGAATATTTCCTCAAGGCATCTAACAAATTAACCATTAATTATTCACAGTGCAATGATATTGCAGCATGTAACTGCCTTCCAGCTTAAAAGCCAAACCCTTCATCTGTCTTCCAACTGCTTATCCTTTTCCGGGTCACAGCGAGCCTTTCCCAGGTAACAGACATAAAGCAGAGATACACCCTGGGCAGGATGCAACTCCCAAATTAATTCCTTTTAATATACTGGCTTGTAAAAAGCTATTTAACTACAACAAAAATATATTAAATATTTATATGCTTGCTTAGGCATTGGTATAGGGTCTTGCACAGGAGGGGGGGTAATCATGGGAGGGGTTCTGCATGAACATGAGATTTGTAGTGCTTTAGACGGAACACTGAGTCTGTAAGCAGCAGAACAAGGACTCAGCTGTCACTCTGTCTTATCGCAGCAGGGAGTGTTCAGTTATCTTTTCACCCACACAGAAACAGCAGGGGGGAGCTTTTATCCTTAGTGTACTCTGTGCATAGTGGGGGGGGGGCAGTATTATCTACCACTATGTCCACCCTACTATCAACTGTATTTCACCTCAGTGACTGTAGACAAAAAAATACTCGTCTTTGAGTATCGGCAGTCAGCATGCTTTACTCGTACTCGGTGGAGTATGTGTTCACCTGGCTTTCTCCCTCTGTGTGGATGCTGCCTCTCCTGTGATAAATGCATGTAATAAATCCAGCATTGGTAAGGTGGCTGCATGGAAGGGCTGGTTATCTCAGAAAAAAAAAAAATCTTGTTTAGGGCTGGTTTATTGAAATACTGATCTGCTGGCTTTTTTCGGTAGGCATTGATCATGAGGAATTTTAAGGCTGACTATACAGTGATTACTCATGATAAAAGCTGGAATCGATATATCCAGTGTTGTTCTAAGTGCTGGGTGATGACACAGCTCGAGGGCCTCAACACCCACAGTTCTATAAACCACCACGTGAAGTAGTGGGGAGGCTGCATTTCTGTCCTGCCGTGCTCTTCTGCCGTTCCCAGTTTGAGTTTCTGCTGGCCCAATCCCTCCAGCCATTGTGTCTGTTTGCCATGGCAAACATGTCCCATTGGGCTTGGCGATAAGACATGTTGATGAACCATTAAATTCTTACCCAGTTGTGGACAGTTTACTAGTCTTCTGGGCCTTAGATGGAAGCCAGTAGGGCGTTAAGTTCTGCCAGTCTGGGAATCTTTGGATGTGCACTTTTAGCAGTGTGAGTGCGTGACCTTTAAACTGGACCTGCAGCTCTCTAGTCTGGATTTTTAAACCGTAATTCACTTCCCTCCGTTTGTATTAAGCAGCATTGGTTTCCTGAGCAATATTTCACTTCTTTGAACTTGAATATGATTCATATAAGTACGTTGCTTGTGTGCTATAACACTTACGCCCTGATGTCTCACAGAATGGAAGATAACCAGCACTTGTGAAAATGACAGTCTTTTCAAAATCCTTTTAATTCTGTGTTTACGGCCATAAATGTTAAACTGGCAAGCCGACTGGTACAGGAGAAGCGTCATTGTTGATTCATCCTTTCCTTAACCTGATTTTAATTCAAAGGTAATTGGTTTAAAGACACAAGCGAGAATAATGTGTGGAGGAGCATGACTAGAAAGGGGCAAAGGTTAGTCATGCTAATCTGCTTAATAAACAACATTTAATATTTAATATCACATTCCTCTCAGACTCCATTATTCCTCTGAATGTTCTGGATACTATGAGTACTGTAATTACATTTGCTGGCAAGAAATTTAGCTACCAGTCTGCTCTGAAAAGTATTTTCTTTGTGTGTTATGCAAAATATTGTCATTAGACATATACTCTTCATCCGAAAGGCTTAGCTAATCACAACAAACGGCATCTAAAATGAGGCATTGTTACATGCCTCGGAGATGACCTAGTGTGAAACAGGGCCATTGTGCACCGTAGGCAGTGGTATGTGTCCAAAGAGGGTCACGGTGTGTGAATTAGCCATGCTGTGTACTGAGTGGATTCACTCTGGTTTGATCAGCAGCTGAGTGATTAAACAGGACAGTGACCTTCTCGGGTCACGGGCTTCCCTGTTTGCCGAGCCTGCAGGACAGATGATGCAGCAGGGAGGGGCCGCTCCCAAATCTGAGGAAGGGAACTAGCGTTTCACGTTTACAATCACAGAACCGACAGAGAACCTCAGAGAACCTCCAGCTCTGGGGGCATGCGAGTCTACATGGACATCCTGACCTAATGCCCAACTGCTTTCTTTAATAAATTATTAAGAATTATAGTCCTGAAATTTGAAATGTGGAGATCGGCTTTAAAAGAGTAAGGTTCTGATGCTGGAAATTCTCTGTGAGATTCTGAACAGCAGATTTGATGTTAGGTGACAGAAATTCTGCGTGGCCACAGGATACATACACTATATGGACAAAAGTATGGGGAGACCTAGAACCTACTAGAACTAAGATGACATCCTATTCTAAATCCATAGGCCTCAATATGGAGTTGGTCCCCCCTTTGCAGCTGTAACAGCTGCCACTCTTCTGGGAAGACTTTCCACAAGATGTTGGAGTGAGTCTGTGGGAATTTTTGCCTATTCATCCAGACGATTGTGAGGTCAGGCACTGATGTTGGACATGAAAACCTGGCTCACAATCTCCATTCTATTTCATCCCAATGGTGTTCAGTGGGGTTGAGGTCAGGGCTCTATGCAGGTCAGTAAAGTTCTTCCACACCAAACTCACTCAACCATGTCTTTATGGACCTTGCTTTGTGCACTGGGGCACAGTCATGCTGGAACAGAAAAGGGCCTTTCACAAACTGTTCCCATGTTGTTGGAAGTATAGAATTGTCGAGAATGTCTTGAAGCATTAAGAGTTCCCTTCACTGGAACTAAGGGGCCCAGCCCAACTCCTGAAAAACACCCCCATACCATTATCCCTCCTCCACCAAACTACAGCTGGCACAATGAAGTCAGGCAGGTAACGTTCTCCTGACATCCACCAAACCCAGACTCATCCATCAGACTGCCCGACAGAGAAACGTGATTCGTCACTCTACAGAACACGTTTCCAATGCTCCAGAGCTTAGTAGCTGCGTGCTGTACATCACTCCATCCGACGCTTGGCATTGGGCTTACTGATGTGAGGCTTGCATGCAGCTGCTCGGCAATGGAGGCCATTCCATGAACCTCCTGCTGCACAGTTTTTGTGCTGGAGCTAATGCCAGAGGACGTGTGGAACTCAGCGTCGGCGAACTCAGCATTGGCGACCCCAGTTTGATACTTTACGTGTTCTGCCACTTTGTGACTGAGTTTCTGTTGCTCCTAAACGTTTCCACTTTGCAATAATAACACTTACAGTTGACTGTGGAATATCTAACGGGGAAGAAATTTCACAAACTGATTTACTTCAAAGGCGGCATCCTATGACAGTACCGTGCTTGAATTCACTGAGCTCTTCAGAACAACCCATTCTTTCACAAATGTTTATAATCTTGACTGCATGACTAGGTGCTTGATTTTATACACCTATGGCGATGGGTCTGAATGAAACACCTGAATTCAGTGATTAAGAGCTGTGTCCCGGTACTGGCTTACGTGGAAACAGGGGAAGTCCACGTTCACTGGGGAGGGAGCCATAAATGTGAGTGAGCACAGCTGCAGGTTTTTTGGGGGATGGGGGGGGGGTCATCACAGGTGTGTGTCTCTCTCTCACACACACACACACATGCACACACACACACACAAACTGCCTGGGTAAAATAAAAGTTAAATAAATTATGATGCAAGACTTTTCCTTCATTAATCATGAACTCTAAAAGAAATATTTTAGTCCTCCTGATATTATTATTAATGGTGTTATTTTTTACACCAGTTATTTTCTTATTTCCCTTGAGTTGAGATTTTAATCACCTGGATCATTCTGTGGGCTGTTTCTCTAATATTCACCAACAGGTTATCTGATTTCTCACTATTGTGAGGTTTCGTTTTCTTCATGGGCCTTCAGTGTTTTCCTGTGATCTAAATCACGTCCACACAATGAGATTATTTCATTGCCATGGAAATCTGGCGCATTGCTGGACCAGCAGCTGTAGGTGTGAGACTGAGTCATTGTGTCATGTTGTTGCTATGCAGTGAGCTTTACTCAACAGAGCGACATCAGACCAAAGATCGAGTCCTGTGGGATGGCCGTAAAGGAACCTCTGGTCCTTTGATGGAGCTTGAACTTTGAAGAATCGAGTGTGCTTAGTGGCTGGACTTATTCACAAAGACTTACTGTTTTCATAAAGTATTAGTTTGGGGGACGTACACACTTATGCAGCTGTGTCTTTAATTTATTTTTACTATTTATCTATTTGTTTTTCTCTTGCATTTTGTCGGTTGCAAGGTCACATTAAAGAGAGAACAATGTTGTGATTTTTCATTTTGCATCACAAAAACTCGCAGTTCCAGAGTGGGTGTATGATCTTCAGTGTCTTACTATAACTGTTTACTCGTCTGCTCTGCTCATACAGTATTTCCTCATCCATCCATAATTTGTGCCCGGTATCAGGTCTCTTCTGCTAACACAGTGGCTTCATCATACACCCGACAAAACGGAAATCTGGGCCACAAACTTTGGGTTCGAAGCCTATAGTTGCCCCTCAGGCATATCCTTTTAGATCTAGAATTTTACATAGACTTTTATTGTCTTTACTTTTGTGGCGTATACATGTAACACAGACCTTGTTGTGCTTTTTGTCACTGACTTGTATGAAAATTTCACACGTACGCAGCTACATATTGTCCCTCTGGCCAGTCCTCCTGCCCACGTTGGGCTCGTGTGAGACAAGGAAGTGAGTGTGTTTCAGAGCCATCTGCCCATTCCTGCTAGTTTACTGCAATGAAGTGCTGTTCCCACGGGATCTGGCCTATCGGGAGCTCAGGATCTCGATCACCATTGTTTCACCTGCATAGCCACGCCATGCTTTCTCCTAGGCCTCGCTTCCCTCTCCCAGGCCTGCTTACGGCTCCACTGCGAAACTGGTGCCAACTTGAGGTGTTGGAAATCATGAGAAGAGCGTTGGATGAGTGCTGGCCCTGAGCAGGCTGGGAGCAGGTGGCGTCATCAACACAAAGCATGCCGCCGACCAGGCTCCTGGGCCTTGGAGAGGTCTACTGTGAAAACTTCTTGCCTACATGTTTCCACGGTTGTTGATGTGGGAATAAAGGTTAAACTGGAAGTAGAAAACTCACAGGCTCCTGCAGTTAATGGAAATGCTTTGACTGTACTTTCATACAGAGAAAAAAGAGATTTCTTGCCACTTGTCTTTTAAAAGTAGGTACAAGTTGTGACTAGAAATCCCAACTTGGTACGCATCAACAATGAATAATCATAATGATGACGATGGGCTGTATTGTATTGTAGAGCAGTGGTTCTCAATCAATTTCAATTTTGTACTGTGATCTAATTGTTACCATGCCAACTCAGTCACGACCCTATACCATATATAGGTCTAAATTAACCCTATGATCAAGCACGCAGTGCACTCTGCAATTTATGCCAATCAATGTCTATCGCACAAGTCTGATTGGATGTGCCAGTGAATTTTAAATTAAGCATCTGTGGTTTGGCTTCTTGGATTGGTTGACTGTTCGCTAGATTTGCGCTAAGCATTTGCAGACCCAAGACCCGTTTATATAGGTTAATTCTAGGATTGGGGCTGAGAAATCTGATCATTGATCAGCATAGGAGCTTGCTGGTTTTTAAATGCGTATATGTTTCATACTTTGCCTCGCAACCCTTTCAGAACTTGCCTTGACCGAAATTTGGGTCACGACCCATGGTTTGAGAATCTTTGTTGTAGAGGAGTCACTTTAGAGGACTTCACCTGTATGTGGCTTTCATCTGACTTAAGCACTGTAGCTTTTATGTGAAGAAGTGATGAATTATTTCTGTTACTATACTGAACAAGCTTCTGGGCAGGACAGCTGGGTCATCACCTCTTTTCCACTAAGGTTATAACCCTTCTTCTTTTCATAAGACCTTCAGTGACCATAGAGGCACTGATGTTTTTTTAACGGTAAATTAATATTAAAATCTCCTTCCCTGCAGGTACCTGGGTAACTTTTGGAGGTCAGATTTCAGATGAGGTAAGATGAGATGTTTTAAATAAACTGCACATGGTTCATTTGCTTCATGCATTTATTGGGGATCAGGTTTTAGTGTAGGCCATTTACATGCTAAGTAGAGTTTAATTTGGAATTGCTATAGAATTATCCTTTTAAAAAGGTTTTGGCTTTTTGGAAAATGCTGGCATGGAGCTGGGTCCATCATGCTCTGGAAGGTTTAATTCTTTTGGGGTTGGAGGAATGTGACCCAAGCCACATAACTGTTATCCTTAGATAACCAGTGCACCCAGTGGACGACTCAGTTGTTTGTCACTGGGAGTCAGGGCAAAAATGTGTCTGAGTGCCCAATGTGTTTGACATTCATCATCCATGTCCTTCAAGAGCACAAAGAGGAGAAGGTGAGAGGTGAGATGGGATCAGGGGCTTGAAAGCTTGACCATTCCTGGGATAGGAGCACCCCCCCCCCCCCCGTCCGTTTCTCTGTCCGTTACAATATGTATGGAGATGATGGGGGATAGGGGGTGTCATTGATTATTACTAAGCCTAGTTATGTAAAATAATTCTGGAGGGGGTGATTTGTTAAATGTCTCAGTAGAGGGAGTGGGCTGAGTGGAAGATCTACAGGGTCCTGGAGTGAAATATTGCATCTCTTTCTATAGCTCACTTTAAATCATCCACAGAACCTCTTGATCCTCATTGATCAGCAGAAAGTAAACAATCTGAGGAACGGCATGACACTTCACTGATTATTTTTTTTTATGAAGCGAACAACAGTAGACGTGACAAGAAATAGATTTCAACGATATTGCAAAAAGGAAAAGACGTGTTCTACCTTTTGCTTTTTGTGTTCTGCAGGTCGCTGAGCAGCTCATGACTATCGCCTATGAAAGTGGGGTCAACTTGTTTGACACAGCGGAGGTTTATGCTGCTGGAAGGTGGGCAGGTGACACATCTTCACTACGCGTGGCACAGACTGCATCCTCAGATGAAACACTGAGACAGGCTGTGCCCAGTCCTGTCAGATTGGACTCACACCCCCCCCTCCCCCGACCCCCAATGAAAGACTGGCAGTGCGCCTTCCTGAGCAGACCCCGGAAACCTTTGATAAAAAGGGAGATAGTGTGTTCATACAATGATGTCTGTTACCAAGGCACCGATAAACATGCATATTTATCCCAACCGTATATCTAAGGAGAATCATCTGATAAACTCTCTGTGCAGCAGTCTGAGGTATAACTAATGCATGGATGTTGTATTTTAGGCTGGGAGACTTCTTGCTTCCCTAAAATGCCAAATGTGTAGATTCTACCTTAAAAGTGGTCATTCTAATTCTACTGCTAATTATTGTTTTTCAGAGCTGAGGTAATTCTGGGCAATATCATCAAGAAAAAGTGCTGGAGGTAGTATCATTTTACTCTCATCTGTGTTTGAATTGTGTCATTGTAAGAAACAAAAACGTCCAGTTTTACAGTGTACGCTTTTCTGATTAGAGAACACTTGCCATGTCTGATTGGTTAGTACCACTGATGGGGCCTGCCATGGTAACCATGACTACCAGCGACAGCATCAGTGGAGTAGGCAGCTCGCTGGTCAGGCCTGGTGGCTGTTGGGAGACCTGGACAAGGACTAACAGCATTAAAATACATATTGCATGTAACTGAAATCACATGATATATGACTGGGGGAATTATTTGACAGTTAATACTTTGCAGTTCTGCTGGTCGGTCAGGGAGTGAAGAGGTCGTAAAAGCAAGCCCCCCGCTCTTTGGCACCAACTCCTTGGTTCTAACTCTCAATTCCGTCTTGGGGACTGAAGGAGGACATTCATCACACCTGTGCTGACAGGGACGCGTCATAAAAAGCTCGTCAGCGCACGGGTGTGAAACGAAATAACACGTGACATTAGGTCAGTGCGAGGATCACGTGGAAAGTGTGAACTCTGCTCAAACTCTCATCCTGCCGTCAGCAGATACACACATAGATGATGCGCACAGGGAAACACACAGGCTGGCAAAGCAACAGATGGTACAGAACCCCCTTCTGCTCCGCCAGGTCCACATGCTGCGGAGCGCGTGTTTCACCACAACGGCTAAGATCAATGTCACCACTGCCTTTTATTTCCTTTATAAATGATTCTTCATCATTATGTAAGTGGGAGATGCAAATTGCAGCCGTGGAACGTGGCCATGGAACGTGGGACAGCAGGAGATATACACAGCTAAACGGTTATTTTCAATTCAAATTGCCTCACAACTAAAACGATGTGCGGTGCAGGACCTGCAGATACTATGTAGGTCAAAGCTGCAGGTCGCAGTGTTACTCAACAGTAAACAATGAAAGTAAGAAAATCAAGGAAATTCCTCCCACGCAGACATTTTTAATGCTTATAGATGGACTTCCTAGTCAAACCTAAACTCCTCTTGGCCTTGAGCTAAAACCCTCATTCTGTCAGTGTTTGAAGAGTCAGACTTAAGTCTGAAGAAATATGCAGTTTGGGTACGAGTTACGCTATATATGGTGTCACTGAGCTCTCTGTCAGTTGTTCTGTAGGAGTTCCACAAAAGTTGAGACTGAAATAGGCATTTCTGTTCTAAAACCATATTCTTTTTTAAATGTAAAGGTGAAATGCTGTATTTGGCTTCAGCAGCACACAATAACAAATATCCATATCACCAGTGACTTATGACCTTTGAACCTTCACTGTGACAGTGTTGATTTTAGTTGGTCAAATTACAAGTTAAGTTTATCAAACTTTTGCTGCTAATAGAAAGTTTGAGTTCTGATTAATTTCTCCCGTCTGTTCATTCTCTTCTCCTCCCATCAGGCGATCCAGTCTTGTCATCACTACTAAGCTGTACTGGGGAGGAAAGTAAGTGAACAGACCCTTCATGTCACACAGGCTCAATGACACAAAACAAAGGAGTCTGGAGGGGTCCCTGCCAAACGCTCCTCTTTGACCCACGTGTTTGAATTGCTTCAATAAAACGTTCAGCTGTATGTATGAGAAAAAATATATATTAAATTGGAATACATTGAAGTCATGCGTCACAACAGGGATACATTCTGAGAAATGCATTGCTAGGCGATTTTGTTTGTTGTGCAAATGTCATAGGGTGTACTTACACAAACCTAGATGGTATAGACTACAATAAACTTTTTAATGAGTATAAAGAGTACACTCTAAATAGCGATAAAAAGTACAGTATAGCAAATAAATAAACCAGCAGCATTGTCAAGTATTTTGTGCTGTACGTGATTGTATGTGCTGTACTTTTATACAAAATTAGGGGTAGGTTTGTTCACACCAGGATCACCACGAACACGAGAGTAACACTTTGTGCTACAATGTCACCTGGATTTTCAGTTCCATTACAGAATAACATCATAGGACCACCGTCATGCATGCGGTCCGTTGTTGACTAACGTCATTATGCAGCACATCACTATATATAGTGTATCCTAGAATAAATATATTATGGTGCCTTATGCCATTTCACAAGTTAATGCTATGATACAGGAAGTAGCACCCGTAGTTTAAGTTCTTAACTAGTAGCCTTTATATATCAAAGTCAGTATGGTGTTAAGCTGATGGTCTTCACTGCAAATGCCTAAGTAATATCAGGCTAATCTCTCTGCGTCCTGTTTGCACTCGAATCTTATCCATTAGATTAAGCTCCTTGCAGGCAGCGGTGTCCAATTGTGAGTGACGACACTGGGTCTTTGCTGCTGACTCTGCTGCTTTTTGTGTCCCCCCCCCCTCCCCCCCATGAGGGGGGCTGTACTGCAGCAATGGCAAGCGAGCCATGAAACAGGCTCTCGAGAACTGCGTGCCCACATGCGGCTGTCAGGACCTGTGATTAAATGCTTATAAGATGCCGCGCGCGGCGTGATGCGGCTGTGGTGGCCGATAATGGCCAAAGCGGCGCGTTACTGTCCTGCATCGCTCCGGGGTACCAGCTCCCTCCTCTGGGTGATGGCGGCAGGGGAGGGGGCCCAAAGAGGGCAGGACACTGCACTGCTGAAGTGCCCTGCGGGTCAGCTGCAAGCCGCCAGTAGTCGTTCTCACTACTTTTGGGGAAAACTCCTCAAAATCTTGTGCACTTACCAACTTTATATTTTTCATGAAACTTGAAGTGTCAAAATGTTTTGCCATTGGTTTTCTTTTTCTATATTTCAGTTTTGTGAGGTTTGGATTATTATATGCATAGAGCTGAGAATCACAAGGAGGTCTGAGCAAATAAATAGACACAAACTATGTGTGTCCATCTCCCTTTCTCCGCTCTAACAGGGCAGAGACTGAGAGAGGGCTCTCCAGGAAGCACATCATTGAAGGTGACCCTCACTGCCTGCCATTCTCTTCTGCCATTCTGGTTTTCCGACTTTTGTCTGCCAGTTAAAACTTTCAGCTCCCCTCTCATTTCCTGTTTCCATCAAACTGATCTTGGCATCTCTTCCTCCCCAGGGACCTGATAACATCCCATATTTTACTGGGTGATTAACACATTGTTCTCACAGAGTACACAGTTTTGTTCCACCGTATTCCTCTTTGTCTAACTTGTTTATCTGAGAAGATATAATTTTTTAGATGTATGGATTTGTAAAGACATTCTGACGGGCCCCTGAACACTGTATCAAAGAGAATAGTTATTTCACCATTATTCTGATGCAGCTTTGAGGAAAAAATTTTTTCATTACTATGATCTGCACATTTTTCAGACAAAATGTTGTTATGGTTTTTTGGGTAAGGCAGACAGTAAGAGACTGAAGGGCCAGCTGAGATGGGTGAAATTGTGAAAGGCTGTTGCTAAAATATACATTAATCGGGTTATTTAACCATTAAAAAAGGTTTGATTAATAACACAGGCCTAATTATAATGTACCTATCAAATGTTCACATTGTGGCCATGGTTATGGGTGCTGTTAGGCCTTTGGTCAGTCCTTGTCTCTGTCTCAGGACTCAAAGGCTCCCTCCAGAGGATGCAGTTGGAATATGTGGATGTGGTCTTTGCCAACCGGCCAGACAACAACACACCGATGGAGGGTGAGCCTGGGAAAGTCTGCCTCTTGGTTCTGCAGTTTGCCGTTTGCTGCCATTACAGTGTTTGCAGAGGGAACAGTCCCTGTGCTTGTGTCACTCAAATTCACTTATGCCTTTATGAGGTATACACACACACACACACATACACACACACACACACACACACACACACGCACATGTAGGGTAAACATATCCTTATGGGGATCGCTCATTCATTTCAATGGGAAAAATGCTAACGCTAACTATGACAACCTTAACCCCTACCCTGCCCTAACCATAACCATAAGTAACCAAACAAAATACAAGAGTTTTTGCATTTTTAGTTTTTTCATAGCAGTCACCGATTTTTATAAAATAGAGTTTTCCCTTATGGGGACCAGGAAACCGGTTCCCATAAGGGAAAAAAAAACGGATATTTATCACGTTATGGGGACATTGTGTCCCCATAAGGATAGGTAAACCCGCTCACACACACACACACACACACACAAGTTTGTAATTATATCTTTGTGGGGACTCTCCATTCATTCTTATGGGGAAAACTGTAATCCCAACATGATGACCTTAACCCCAACCCAGTCGCAACCTTAACCATAAGTAACCAAACAGAATACACGACTTCTGGCATTTTTACTTTTCTGATTGCATACACAGATCTAGACCTGAAAATTGGTCAAAATAACAAGTTTTTACTACATTGCGGGGGACATTGGGTCCCCACAATGTAATCTAAACATAACACACGCGTATACACCCACACAAGCGCATATACATGCATAATATACTCATTCACAAACAAACCGCATGCAGAAGTACACAAACACACTCAATTTGCTAATGCCCACAATTCCACTGTGCAAGTTGATGAATAAAATAGGTCCTTCATTAATATTTTGTTTGAAGATTTCCAGCTGCATTCACCTTGCTCACACTATAGTTGGATCGTGTCACTACCCATGGTGTTTGGGCCGGGTGCTCAAAGGTTGATGTTAGATGAAGGACACCAGAGTTCAATGTGTTCTTCACTGTAGCCCACACACTGAATCCCTCTGTGCTCTCTGCTACCCGTCTTTCCTGGTCTCTATTAGTTCTGTGTTCTTTAAAAGGCTCCTGAAATGGACTGACACAGTACTTTCCCTCAGAAGGGCACCTAACATTACCTCAGGTAGCCTGAAATACATCCAGGAGAACCTTCCTTTTTACAGGAAACACTATTGGTGCGCTATGTCTATTTCTGTCCCTTTATATAATATATATAACACCCTCTGAGATGCATCAATTGGGCATAATTTGAGTGGCAGAGATGGGTAGCTTTGGCTTGGCAAGGCACTCAATCCCTCTGTAGCTGATTAAGCCACTCCATTCATTAATGATTGGAGATCTGGACGAATTTAAGCACGTAGTTGTTGTTGATCATAAATGAAGCAATTCGCAGTTTGCACACTTGCCTTGCTTTGGAGAGCGCTCTCACGGGTGCTGTTGGATGGCTCTTGGCAGGACTCACTGAAATTCAGAGCAGTCGCTGCAGAAATGGTTATAGTGGGTAATCAGAGCTGTGGTAATGGGATGCCTCCAGTATCTGTCTGTAATGTTATGAATCCTCAGCTGGACTGTTCCAGAACCTCTTGTCCAGTCACATCGTTAGCCTCTGTGTCACCACTGCACTGCAGCACAATTGCGCATGATGGAGTGCAGCTGAACTGTGAGGCTGAAGGATGAGTAAAACCAGGCCCATCTGCTATGCGACTGCTGCTTTAAGGAGGAGCATCAACCTAATGCTTCGCAGCATGGCCGTGCGTGCATGAAATCTTAACTTCAGCACAAATCTGTGATTAGATGCAAAAATGTCAGACGCGCGCAGACATGTCACCAAAAGCAGAGCTCTTAATCTCAGTAAAATGTCCAGAATTAATTCTTTTGAAGCACACACCTTCCCGTGCCAAGGATGTCGTGCTTTTCTTGAGACTCCTAAGCTTGCATCACCATCAAGGAGCCCTAATGGGCCAGATACCAAGAATCCTACCTATTTGCATAAACAGACAGGACAACTTAGCATAATCGCATTAAACTGAAATAAATGCCCACGAATAGCGAGAGCACTGTCTGCCGTGTGCTTGCGCGTTGGTCGTACATCACTCGAACAGTCACTGTTCGATAGAGAGCACCCCCGATCCTGTGTAAATACCTGAACCTGCACTGTCAGTGAGGCGACGGAGTTGACCTTTAACCTTGCAGCTTCCCATGAGCCCATGGTGACTGGAGTGGAGGGTGCAAGCAGCTGAGTGATGGTGTGCCTGTGAGCTGTGCCTGTGAGCTGTGCCTGTGAGCTGTGCCCTCTCACTGTGTAAAACCTCTGATTCACACCACTCTCTCTCCATTTTGCTTCCCACTTGCATCACCCACACATTCTCTCTCTCGTCTCTCTCTCTCTCTCCCTGTCACTCTCTCGCCCCCCACCCCCCAACCCACGTGTACCTATTTGGCCTTGACTGTAACAAATTTGTTCTTTTAATATATGAAAAGGGTAGTTTTTTTTCCACACAGCATTTATTTTTCATCGTTCTGTTTGCCTGTCATCTCCCATCTTCACGTCTCTCTGCTGGTTGGAGGCTTTTCGCTCCCCCGCTGTGCTGCATGTCGCCGGTCCGCTAGGCACTTAGGAGTGGGGGTGCCGCGGGGCCTATAGATTAGCTCTCATTATCAGTGCTGCAGTTTCGCAGTGACCAAATGCGGAGCCCCCCGCCTCTCGCTGCATCGCATCAGCCCACAGTTCCCCCCGACCGGAGTGCGGTCCTTGGCTAGGCGTGGAGCTGCCGTGACTGCAGTGCATGCGCGGCCCGCAGCGGCCAGGCTGAGTGGAGAATGTTAATGCGCAGCTCAGAGTGCCGTCCGCAGCCCGCCTCGCTGTAAAGGTTCACTGTGAGACACTGCACCACGTGTCGCGTTACATAAAGGCGGGAGTGACTGACGGGGGGTGAGACGCGTGAAGGGGGTGGCCTCACTCCTAGGATCTGTGAGTGCAGGATGGGGGCTGCTGGCAACCTCTGAAACCTTAAAGTGAGAACCACTGCATATACATTCATCATAACAGCATCTGTCCTGAATGACAGAGTAAGATGTGATAGTAAACCATGCATCTGCATGAGGAGCTACCCTTCAGTCACACACACACACACACATATACACACACACACTTATACAGTATATTCATTTTTAAAATAAATATTCATTTTTTTAACAAATTGGGTTTCTAATGATGGATGGATGATTGACGTTTTCTTTTTATTATTTTATCTTTCTCATAAAAAAATTGTAGCGCCCCCTGGTGTACTTAATTACACAGTATTTTACTCTGCTATAATGAGTGTTTCTTTAGCAGTTGGTCTGTGTAATACTATATGTGTTTGTTCCTATTTCTTCAGCTAATCTAATGCAAATACTGTAGCTGACATTTATACGAGTCACAGTTTGCATTATGCATTCTGTCTTCGAACTCTGTCTGTTTTGCATTGTACGCATGCTCATCTGTGCTCTACATACTCACTGCTGTGTACACGAGAATTTCCCACTGGGATAAAATAAACATTATCTTAATCTTCATTAATTTTCCAAATCCTCTGATGTATCTGCCCAAGCAAATGTGTGTGCAGTAGCCCAGATCAAATGAGCAAACTGTGGTCATTGAATTTTTGAAGGCTTTACTGTCACGTAATGTTGTTCTTATTTACTGTTTCACACTTGCTTATTGATTGCTTGCTCAGAGATCGTGAGGGCCATGACCTACGTAATAAACCAAGGCATGTCCATGTACTGGGGCACATCGCGATGGGCAGCTATGGAAATCATGGTAAGCACCAACCAACAGCCTGACCCCCCCCCCCCCCCCCCCCCCCCCCCCCCCCCTCCCCCAGCCACGTTTGGTCAGCTGGTCAGCTGTGCTGCTGTGTCTTGACCATTTAAATCTGAAGCCCAGACTGAAGCGTATGAAAGGCCGCGAAAAGCAGCTGAACACCAACTCTGTCCTGAGCCCAATTTTCCTCTCCACATTCCTTTGAGTAGTATTGTAGTCCATCAGTGAGCAAAACCACATTGAGTGACTCCTAAGGGCCCCCCGGAGCATCCCACTGTCGTGCCTGAACGAATTACAATGACTTCTGCTCTCAGCTGTCTGTCTTTATAGATGCTGGGGGCTTTCAGTATCTGCTCCTTCCTTTACCAGTAGCAGAAAGGACTAAAAAAGACTTGCATAACGGAAGGTTTCTAAAAAGATGTCAGACCATCTTCAGGGCAATATTGTCATAAGGCTTTTTTTTTGTTTTGTCTTTTCAGAATCCCAGCAAACGCTTAGCTTCCAGGTCTCAAAATTTTAATATGATTCGATGAAATATGAACTGACAGCAAAGACTGCCTATGCAGTAGCGATGATGAACACTCCACAGTTTAAAGGGCATTCATAATTCACCATGGTAAATGCAAATGGCCAATCAGGTGCAAGGGAGTGTTGAGGGTCACGTGATACTCATGGTGTCTTGCGTCGGCACTGGCATTTAGTGCCTGTATCTACTGTTTAACTCATACTTAAGCTCGTCATGAACAGTATGGTCAGTCCTCCCAGTCGTGTTTTAGGTGGGTTAGTGTCTGGCTATCATGTAGAGTGTCTCCTGGCTCAAGCCCTGTGCTCACTGAGGTGGCCTTCATGCACACAGTATATTGGAGGGAATGCTGTAAGCAGGAGAGTATTAATTTACAGTAAAATCCCATTATAACCGACTTCAAAGAACCTAGCAAAACAGTCCGTTGCATCCAGAGTTGCTGTATGCCCAGAACACAACTACAGGACACCATTTACTCATGCCACACCCCAGTAGACACACTTGTGGTATAGATTATTATATTGTTCATGTAGTAATCCAACTTTACCTGAGCAGATGCGTGACTATTAATAATCCCGACTACGTATCTGCGCTGGATATCACCAGCACGCCACACGCCTTGTAGGCGGAGCTGCATGTCCGTTATAGCCAAAACTACAGCTAAAAGCGGCTCTGGGGACCGAATTGTTTGTCGGGTATAAGCGAAAGACTGTTATATGCGAGTCCGCTATATCCGATGGTTTTTCGGCATGTTTGTAAAGGTGCAAGGCTGGGACCAGCAGACCTCATCCATTATAGACGATATTCCGTTATAAGCCATTTCACTATAACGGGATTTTACTGTAATATAAATATAGTGAAATACGTGCAGACAGTGGCATAGTTTGGAGTGTGCGTGTGCATTGTGAAAGCATATGGCAAGTCGTTTAGGCTTTAATTAATTTCTAGAAGATATCACTAATTCAGTTCTAACTAATCAGAATGAAAATTCTTATAATCGGAAATTCAATTGCAACTGGCTATAATGTGTATAAATAAAAATTTACATAGTTGAAAATCCAATTTCTGATAACAGGAATTCAATTTAACTAGTTATAATTCAGTTTTAATTATAGCTGGTTACAGTTTTATTCCTGATATCAGAAACTGGCATTTTAACTAGTTGGAAATGAATTTGTGATACTCTCTAGAAATGAGTTAAAGCTAAAACGACTTGTGGTTTGTTCCCGGGCTCCTAAAGTGCTGTACAGATTGACTAGGCCTAAGAACCCCATTATTGTGTATTTTACCAAAGCCTAAATGGAAGGAAAATTAAGAAAGTATAAACTCATCATGCACATATTTTGCAGTTAAAACAAACTAGTGAACAGCGAAATATGTGGTCATCCATGAAGAAAGTCAAGATGGCATCCATGCAGCCTCCTCTCAGATCATCTAGCCTGGAGCGTATGCCAAGGCATGGGTCACCATTCCAGGGCATGGTGCAAATATTAGTCAAATTAAAATAAAACTATGTTTTCTCAAATTTGTTTATATGCACATGTATATACAGTACATATATCTGTATGTAGATAGACTCTACTCTCAATTATAAGGAAAGGCAACCTTTACACACAAGACTTAAAAAGATGCGGAATCTAGCGCTGTTCCCCTCTCTACCTGCAGGAGGCGTACTCTGTGGCCCGCCAGTTCAACATGATCCCACCTGTGTGTGAACAGGCAGAGTACCACATGTTCCAGAGGGAGAAGGTGGAGGTGCAGCTGCCTGAACTCTACCACAAGATTGGCAAGTGACAGCCAGGAGCCAAAGGCTGCATGCATCACTCAAGACATTTTTCCAGATACACCTTCTGGTTCTCTTTGCCTCTTAGGCCTTTGAGAGGTGGTTCTCTGCAGCTTGTTGTAGGCAGCCTTGCTATAGAAGGATTTCCCAGAGTTCCACATTAGCGTTTGTTGTTTTAGGCCCACTAGGGCCCGTGACCGTGACCGTGACCGTGACCGTGACCATGACCGTGACTGCTGTGTCTGCCCTAATTATGCCTGTTCCATTATGAGCTTCATGCTACGTGTCTCACTTCTTCAGCACTTCCGTCTCCAAGCAGCTATAAATGTTGCTGCTTAGCCTGTATGTCACCTGCATGTCCTAACGCCGGTGACCTCTGCCCGGACCAGGTGTCGGTGCCATGACGTGGTCTCCTCTAGCCTGCGGCATCATCACTGGAAAGTATGAGAATGGAATTCCGGAAGCTTCCAGGGCCTCCATGAAGGTAGCGGTCTCTAGTTCTGGTCATGGAAGTGTTGACATAAAGGCCTTCCTAGCCCTCTATCCTGCATTATTACTTACCATCATTATTGTTATGGTACACGGCACTTAAGCACTCTTTCCATCATCAGAGTAGTATAGGCATAATTATACAGCAGAGGGAGAATGATGAGTGTATGCATTCTACTGAAAAAGTGTTAGGGACTAAAGTTAAGCAAATGGCTGAGCATTTACTGGACACCATGAGACAGCCAGCAGAGTGGAGAGCCTGTCACATTCACAGCCTTATTTCAATCCATTTCTCTTGCCCAACATGTACAGGTGTGTGACTTTCTCACCCAAGGGTTGCAGTGTCCCTCTTGTCACAATCCTTTACTCCTCCTTTCTTCTTTCTCCATCTCGTTCGCTCCTCCTGTAGTCGTACCAGTGGCTCAAGGACAAGATAGTGAGCGAGGATGGCAGGAAGCAGCAGGCCAAGCTGAAGGAGCTTGCTCATGTTGCAGAGAAGCTGAGCTGTACTCTGCCTCAGCTGGCTGTGGGTGAGAATGACTGGGAGGCGCCTGAACTGAAAGCTGACAGCTGCTGTATTTTTACCCTCAAACCCTTATTATTATCGCATCACATTTAGATCCGGCAGCCAGAAACTTTTTTTTTCTTCTGTTGGCATTCATGACTTACGCTGCCACCTACTGGACTCCTGTGCTATCACTAGGCAAAGTAGTATGAAACCTGTAGAATAGGGGTTCCCTGCCCCCAGTCCAGAGTATTCCAGTATTCCAACAGGCCACATTTGTGCATTCTGTTCACATCTGGAAAAAAAAGAAACCATTAAATTTATTAAATCCCCCCTGCCCCCCCTACCGCTTTGTGAAATTTTTGCACAACAAAACCAGTCCACGGAAATCTAAAGGCTGGGAACCCATAATTTAGAGCACTGGTTCTCGATTATCCTAATATGGAGCTATATCTGATTATTTCGCTACTGGTACACTTGGCTTAGCTAATGAAAAGATGATAAGTTGATTTACTTGGCAGATGGCTTGCAGAATAGTTCCAGTTTGTGAAAAGGCCGTGAGTCAATAAAAATATTGAGATGCATCGATTTTGGCATAGATTCCTACTACTTAGCTGCAACCAAACAGTCACAATCACAAACGTGAGAAGTGACTTGGCTCATGTGTCCTTTCAGCCTGGTGCCTCCGGAATGAGGGTGTGAGCTCTGTGCTCTTGGGAACCTCAAACCCAGAACAGCTGACGGAGAACCTGGGGGCGATACAGGTAAGCAGCACGACCATGAGCCCCACACAGCCACAAGCTGATGGTGCCACTGTCCACCTCACGTAATCCCTGGGATTTTTATGTACTCAGGTCCTCCCAAAGATGACCTCTCATGTGGTGTCTGACATCGACCACATACTGGGAAACCGGCCCTACAGTAAGAAGGACTACCGCTCGTAGAGTCCGTGTGATGGGGGTCCAGGAGGCTCAGGGTGGGGGCCTACACCTGGGTGGCCACACACAGACCCCGCCCCCGGCTTCCTGGCCCAGCATCTAAAGTGGATTTTTTTTCCGTTACCCTAACTGCATGCCTGCGCAGAAAATGTGTGCCTGAACTATTTCTGTAGCACATCGGATGAAGATCCAAGGAAGACATAGAATTTGAAACACTTTCTGTACCTCAGTACATTACAGTAGGTTAACCCGTAAAGCCGCATTTGCTATCCTGACCCCAGCGCTCTTGCTCGATCTGCAGCCGCGTGACGTAGTGCGAGGGGAAAGGGGAAAGGCCGTCACCAGTCTGGGAGGGCGGAGTCAGCTCCCAGCGTCCTGCTCAGTGCAGACGGAAAACCGCAGCTTTGCTTTAGTAACCCTGAAGGACGCAACCCCTTCGTTTGCATCTGTAGGAGAGAATGCGGCCTCCTCTTTGCCTGTGTATTTTAATCGCCTTGAATGCTAATGTTCATCTGAATGCTGTAGCTGCTACATGTTGATCCGAGACCAAGGTTGGTGACTGTGTGTGACCAGAGGGCTGAGGTATCAATCCTATATATATATAAATATATATACATATAAATATATATATAAATATAAGATGTACTCAAGTTTGTATTTTAGGTGAGAACTTTATGTTAAACGATGTAAAATATCCCAAGCTGACCTCAAAGCCTTCCCGCAGATTAAATGTATATTGTATATATTTTGAAAAAATATATATGTACAGATTCCTCCTATCAACTGCACAGTGACAACTTGTAAGACGATGTATCCTCTCGGTCCCGTGGGCTTTTCCCACCACCCCCGGCGTTTGTGACGTCTGCCATGGGGTAAGGGGGCCATGAGCTGAGCTGATGAGCACGACGACGAGAGAGAATCCTACAGTACAGCATTTCCCGACCCGGGTGCCGGGGTGGTCCCCGAGAACCAGGCCGGGAAAAGCTGCTATAGGATGTGCAGGACGGCAAGCCGAACTGCTGCCACCTGCGTTCCAGTTATCTGAGCACCCGGTTACCAGTGGCAGTAGCACTGCATCACAAACTTGTCTTCATCTCATCTGCACAGCCTCAGATTTGACTCAAATATCTCACAACCGCGATGCCCGTCTTTTTCGCTCCTTTAGTTAACCTTCAGCTTCTTTGGAAAAGGTCAGGTCTGAGTCAAACGCAGGTTTCCTTTCACCCTCCGTGCTGAGTGCCTTGACAGTGCAGATGACCGCCAGTGATCGTAATGTTTGGCTCCGGGCTACATCCTTTGATTCACCAGACTGTAAATTGCTGAAATATATTTATTAATCCTCTATGTTTTCTACAATTTGTACAAGTGTATGATGGAAGAAGAAATGTTTACTTTCCAAGCTGGGTCGTCTCATCAGGATCTCTAAACCACATTTTGCTTCTAAGAAAACCAAATGTAAATATATACATATTTCTGTTTAAATAAATAGAGATGATGCGTTGTGGTGGTCTTGTTCTCTTAGCACCGTCGCAATAAAACGTGATATTACCTTACATCATAAATGTTTAATCTCGCAATCCATCACTCTGAAGCACATTTTACTGGTTCTTTATTTTAAAAAAAAGAACATCTTGAAAATCACCTTGAATTACAGCCATTTGTTTCATAACCCCCCCTCCCCACCACATCCCATCTGAGGTCCAGTCCACCCCCCCTTTTAGAAAAACAAACACTGCCTTTCCTTAAGTCATGGCCCTTACTCCTTACTGCGAGGACGACATCTCATCTTCCAGCTTATTACTTGGACCCAGTGGAGAGCAGCGCAATAAGGCCAGATGATGCACTGATCGACAGAACATAGTTCCTGGGGGGAAGATCATTAAGGACAAATTTGTACATCCATTGCAGTAAAACCACATTATTGGCCTGCCATCTACACTTACTGCGAAGTCATTCCCAAGCTGAAGCTAAATGAAAATTAACCTATTGAGTGAATAAAATCTGAAACCTGCTCCCAGTTCAGTTCAGCTGTGACCTCCAGTCTGAACCCAAAGCAAAGGATACACTGTGGGGTTGAAGTTCTTCAGCAGGAAGAAGGAGGCGATGATGACAAGAACAAGGAAGAGGGTGTTGTTGTAGAAGATGGAGAACGTTGTTGCTTCATAATCAGCCACCTCGTTTTTCTTCCACAGGATCCTAGTGAAAGATGGAACGCAGTGAGAAAACAGTGATTGCAACTTTATACAACACTTACAACAATACAATGATTGTATTGTAACTTACAACACTTACAATAATTGTTCATACTGCATTTCTGTCATGTGTCTCTAATTGGTCATACCCACAGTACTGTTCAGCCACTATCTGTGGACATGGTGCTATGTTATCAAGTGGTATTGCTAACAATTCACTGGTACTGCTAATGGATATCCTGGCTAGGTTTACTGGAACGCGGCTAACTCAGGTGTCATCACTTCCAGCTCCGACTTCCGAGGTAAATGGAACGCAGCATCAGTTCTGAGCACCAACCTCTCGTCTTTCTCTTTGCGAGACATCTTTCGGTTGTCAGCTTCAGAGAGCTTACGGGTCACTTCCTTGGAAACGGCATCTTCTCGTTTCTGGGCAACTCTAACAGCAAAAATATAGCAATTAAATATACCTTTAGAGTGGACGGAAATGGACATTAAGGATGGCCCTTCATTAGAATGATACAAGTTAGCCCGGTTGAACATAAACAGACCAGAAAATAATACTTACTTGTGCTTTAATACAAACTTCACGTTTTTATAGGCGAAGGCAACCAGGTAAGTACTGACCAGCGTCATAACGCCATATAATACTGCAGACTGAACGAGATCCATGTGCCAGATTCTCCAGAACAGCCCTACCAGACAGGAGAAATGACAAAACAAAGGCTGTACAAAGGCTGCAGTTACGGCCATCTAAGCACAATTATAAATAAATCAACAGATAAAAGATTTCCGTCTCTCCCGATCTGCCTGAAATGTTCCTTGAAACGCCGCAGACTTGCTCTTATGTCCACGTCACTATAGCCACATGTTTATGAGTAATGAAGCTGCACATCACCGGGGGATATGGAATTTTAAACCGTCTTATAAAACTGGGGGGGGGTGAAACGAAATAAAGTAGTTTACCCCTTACGCACTCCTGCATTTGGGGCTGTGAAGGACAAGAGTGAATTTCATTTACCTCAGAATTGCACACAGGTAGAAACATTTTCCACGCTTCCACTAACAATGCAACTGCGATAGATACCACACGTCCACAGGTTTTAATTGTGCAAAACCCCCATAACATATGATAATACAAGAAAAGAGCTCGACTGTGCCACGTAGACGAGCACGAATCGTACAAGCTGTAGCCTTAATATTTTGTTGTTATTATTATTGCTATTATTAGTATTATAATAAGTATTAATAATAATAATAATAATAATAATAATAATAATAATAATAATAATTTCTATTAGCATTCCCTTTGAATGACTGATTACTTACAGATGGGGATAGCAGAAACTATGAGCGCATTGCCATAGAAAAGCGCCGACGACTTCGCCGAAAGGTTTCTGCTGAAATCCTGGAGCAAAAGGTCTTCCTCGGACTGTTGCTTGCTGCTGCTTTTCGGGGCCATGGCGAACAAGTGTGCCGTATAACCCACAGCCCAAAAGTAAGAATGAAAGACACGTAGCAAAGCCCCGGTTCGCCCCGAAAAACCTTTCAGTCTTACGACTCGTCAGCACAAACCCGGAAGTGGATGGCGGAGCAACGGAAGTCCGCCGCGTGTATATCTATGGTAAGGAAACTAAGGATGCCACGACAGTGAAGTGCGGCTTGTGTCCAAGCGGGGGCGCACTATCCAGGCCTCTATCACGTTAATCACAAAATTCCACGAGTACAACGGATCCTGTCGTACAACGGTTCGGATCCTGTCGTGACGTCGTTGTCTTCGGAAATGACGTTTGTGACTTGAGAGTGGAACACGCGCTGTCAGGCCGCTCTGCAGCCAGACTGCATGAAATCGATCTACTTATGATACTGAAATGTATAAATAAATGCTGAGTTGGAATGGATGCTAATACATACAACTTCAGTCTTCGGGGCCTTTGACAGATTATTCAGGTAGGCGGGTAACTGGGGTGACCCATATTTTGCTTTGCTAAACAGAAATTACCGGGGTCAAAGCAAGGCAAGTGTGTACACACAAATATTCTGACTGTAGAAAGCAAATATCAATATGAAAGAAAGTGAAGTCCCTAAAAAAACTAAGTCCTGGAAAAAGAGGACGTATGGTCACGTTACGGATAATCAGGTTCTGCCAAATGGGGGGGAAAGACCATTATTTTCATTAGAAAAATCTTAAGCAATCCCGGTTTGTGAAATTTCCCCGCAAGGAAATGATTGGGAAAGACCGGGTTTATCCGAAAGGCACGGATGTTGTGGAATTTGTAATATCTGCTAAATACGCTAGAGGGGACTATTAGCTTACGACACGTCTGAATCACATATTCCAGCAAATATTTACAGAAGTTACCTTAATATAAATCACTGTGTCATAGACAATGCTTCTTTTGTACCTTTGAGGACAGGCTGGGCTGGCCATCTGGCATACCGGACATTTCCGCATTGGTTGCAGGGTATGACGTAAGCCGCAAATATATCACCCCCCTGGCAAAATTTACTGTGGGGGACACCAAAGTCTAGGACTGATTTTTAATTCTACCCCAACCCTGAGGGCAGGTGTATAATATGGAAGGAAACTGGAGTCTTCGTACTGCTTCTCCTGTGTCATTGCAGTAAGATGCCAAGCAGGTCAGATGAGATCTTTCTTTCCAAAACCAGAGACTCTAGCTCGCTCTGGAGAATCCTCTGCCATTCCCAAGGTAACTGGCAGATGAAATCCTTCCAGCACATCCTGGGTCCACTCTGGAGGTCTCTGTTCAGGGGAGCATCAGAGCCAACCAGGTAGCATGAGATGTCCAGACCACCTCAGCAATATTTTTTAACTCTTTTAGTTTATTTTGTATATATTAATACACCTTGGGGTTGTCATACAAGTAACTTCATTGCGTTACACAATAATAATATAGTGCTTGAATCTTACTTTACTTAGCAGATATCTTTGTCATACATTTTTGAGAAAGCAGGCTCCCTGGGGGAATTGTGGGTTAGGGGTCCTGCTCAAGGGCGCAATGGTAAAATCACTGTGGGATTTGAACCGGTGACCTTCCGATAACAGGCACAGCATCCTGTCACCCCGCCACCTCAGCTGACTCAAACCCTCTGAGGACTGTAACCGTAGCGGAGTGGTTTATGTGCTTTGACGATCCACAGAGCTCTGTTTTCCAGAGTTTGGAGTCCCCTGGTGACTACATCTGTGATGAGAGGCCACACAAACTACCATCCAACAAAGTTCCCCTTGAAAGGTACCAAGAATAACCTGTATACCCTGCCTGGAACAGGGTTTTATGGGGACCAACCCCTGCAGCTAAGCCCGGGGCTGGTGTTTCCCAGCAAACAACTGGTGGCTGAGCCAGGCTCAGCACGAAACGGCAATGTGGAGCCATATTGTGGGAACAACACTGACAAGGCGAAAGGGGGGCAGATGCAGGCAGGGAAGACCTAGATGAACCAGTTGCTTTTGGGAAAGTGGAACATTACCTCTCTGGAAGGAAATAAATATAGAACATAATTAAAAAGTCCTGTTTATGTTATGAATCCTGTACAAATGTGGGTCTGAAACCCTGCACTGTCTTCTCATGTTCTCGTTCTTGAGAAATGCTGAATCAGCAACATATAGACGCTGAAACAATATGCAGCAAAACAAATTACAAGCAAGGCAAAAGAAAATAAGTTTCACACAGGTCGAAAAATGGTCATGGCTAAACGAAAGGGACCGTCCCCAAGTATTTTTTGTTCGTGTCACTTTCAGGTTACAGATAGTTGGCACCGGACTGCAATTTGATTTAAGGGCTTTTAGGAGCTGTTACTGGATATCCAATCAGAAGCAGAGGTGGGACACATAGCCACGCCCACAACTCATATCCTGCTTTTAATATTGTCACGTTGCTGTCATTCTGGGCATGGCTGTCACCCCAGTCAGCTGCACAACCACAATTTTAAGGCTCAGGTTCTTAATGATGCTGGGATTCGTCCTGTTTTGTTGGTTTTGTTGATGTCCTGAGATGAAGTCATTGGTTTATAAACTCAGCATAAGCTTTAATACTTTGACAGTAGTTTAGTTGGAAGCCAAACTGGCTGTCCCGGAGGGACGAATCATTCAAGTGTCCAAGGACATTCCGTCCCATGCCAGCCATGACTGTTCCGGGGCAGTACTGAATTGAATTCCAATGCGCAGTACTACGTGTACCTGTCTGGATCCATTACTCTCACCACCTCTGCCATTTTAAGCCGTGGCCCCCGGCTCCCAGCGCACCCCCCACTTCATTTCCCTGTGAGTGTCCACCGCAGCAAGAGCAGAGC